ATGGATGGCTGTACGGTCGGCCTCAGCCATCTTGTCAAACTCATCGATGCAGCACACACCCTGGTCAGCCAGTACAAGGGCCCCACCCTCTAAGGTCAGTTCTCCAGTCACAGAGTCTCTCAGCACAGCTGCTGTAAGCCCCACTCCAGAGGAGCCTCGACCTGTCGTGTACTGGCCTGAATGACAGGATCAGGAAGATAGGAAATAAGCAGACATGTTTAGGAAAAGGGAAAGGAACAAGGAAGAGCAAGAACAGGGCAAAGGACACAAGTAATGGGGACAGTGAGGTGAGGCCTGCACTGATTTACTCTACTTAAACTCATCCAGGCCTTCCTGGGTAAAAATCTATAGGGTGCTGGTGCTGGCAATATCTCCCTTCCCCAACCCTCTCCCACCTTCCAAACCCCAAGGAAGGAAGTAAACATGGTAATCCTACTTCTGTCTTCTACATTTACCTCCCTCTTCCCCCAGAGTCTGATTACTCACTGCGGGGGGCCAGGCGATCAATGTAAGACAGGAGCTGAGACTTAGCCACACCAGGATCCCCCATCAAGCAGATGTTAATGTTGCCTGGAAGGAAATCCCTGTGACTATTCTTTCAATGCAAGTTGTCCAACAACAGAAAAAAAAAACAAACTTCTGAAGTCTGCCTCCACCCCCATACCCAGGATTGTTTCTTCTGATCCCTCCCTGTGCCCATGAAGCCAAAGATGCCAACTCTTATTTTGTGATCTATAGGGATACTAGTTCTTATCATCCTTTCTTCCAAATGCCTTCCCTTACCCCAAGCTTCTCCTTCATTTCCTCTTACCCCTGATTTTCATGCCCCGAGGAGACTGGTCCACACCTCCCACCAGAAGGAGCAGCAGCGCCTTCTTTACATCTTCATGCCCGTATATCTCTGGAGCAATTGAGGCTGCCAGCTTTTCGTAGAAATCCTCCTCTGAGGGAAAATGAAGATTAGGGAAAAAAAGTGCTAGGAAGAAACATTCCTAGTCTTTCCTCCAGTCCCTCACCTGCAATTTGCCTCAGCTCTTCCCTGCTCAGCTCTCCAGACCCAGACTCATCATCCTCACTCTTACTCATCTTCACAATCCGATGGGCTTCCAGGTAAGTTTCCGAGAGTAAACCCTTGAATAGGAAAAGGCCAAGGTATGAATGAAGTCCCTTTAACTTGCCCATCCACATGATTCCTTCAGGCATTCCCAACAAAACCTTGTTCTGTTGTTTTGCTGTTAATAGTTTTATCTGTGGGTGTGGTGAGAGTGAGTAGGCAAGGGGGAAAAGGGAACATTTCCCCATTTCAAACTCCCTTTCTTACCTGTACCACCTGTCGGAACTCAGAGCGCAAGATGGGCAAGAAGATACCAGTGACACTGATGTGGTCCCCAGGCTGGGCAATCCGTGTGTTCTCTCCTTCTACTAACACCGTGATGCTACGAGGGATATTTCCCACAGGTACTTGGTCACTCTATGGGGGATAAGGGTGCACAGGCAAGGAATAAGAAACATAAGGTTCCCAAGGACTTAAGCTCCTGCCTAGGCATTCCATTCTTCTACTTGTTGGTTTACCCAGCTTCAGACAAGCCAACAGAAATACAAAGTAGAGATCTCCTTTACCTCTTCCCAGCTCAATCAAAAAATTTCAGTGAGCCCGGCTGGCATGGTTCAGTGGTTGAGAACTGACCTAGGATCTAGGAGATTGTGGTTCAATTCCCAGTCAGGGCACATGCCCAAGTTGTGAGCTGGATCCACAGCCGGGGGCATACAGGAGGCAGCCAATGAAGACTCTGTCATCACTGATAGGTTTCTCCCCCCCCCCTTCTCTCTGAAATTGAAAAGATATATTTAAAAAAAACCTCCCTTCTGTTCTAGGTGACTTCCCTGCCTCACCTTTTCCTTCTTTTATTCTTTCTTCTACTCCGTGAGTGACTATAGTATTCAAATGGACTCCTAAGCTCCACCTTCCCTGGGCAACATAGCCCAAACTCACATGTTCTTGCATCTTCATCTCCTGGAATTTGATGAATTTAGAGCCACGAGTCTGTAGATATAGCCGCCCTCCTGAGCGGTTGGTCTGGCACTCTTGGCTCGGGCACATGATCAGAGGCATGAAAGTGGGAGACTGGATCTAGGATGTAAGAGAGCATCAGAGGAAGTCAGAAGAAAATGAGCCACCTAGAGTTAGTCACTTGAATCACGTTTCATCATCGTGGAACTGTCAAGAACATCTTGAATTATTCTGGGAAAACATTGACAGGTACCAAGAACACAAATGGGTGGAAAGACCTCTATATACCAGAAAAAGAATGGAAGGCGGCAACACAGATGTGTTTTACGATAAACAGAAAAAATGATAAACATCAACAGACAAAATTCTTACAAAAACCAGTAACAAAGTTAAGCATATTCCTTACTTCATACATACCGGCTGGTAGGTCTCTGCCCCACACTGGTCACAAGTGTAAGTGGCCACCACCATTCTGGGTTTAACTTCAGAGACTCGAGTGACGATTCCACGTACAGTTACCAATTTCCCCACAGAGTCAGCCCGTACTTCCCGGATTACACGAGGCTTATTACTACTTGGGCCTTGAAAGTACAGCTCACTGAGAGAGAAAATAGTCACTAGCAAGGTCCTGGAGAACAAATTCCCACACCTTTCCCCACTGAGATCACTCACAATCTACGCATGAGTTCAGGAGGGTACTGGTTCTGGGGGCTTCGGGCTGCCCCAGGGTCCCGGCTCCGCTGCTCCATCATCAGTCGGTGCTCAATGTAAACATCCAGAACATCTTTATTTACCACCTACAGGCAGAGGGAAGAAGCTGGGAAAAATCAGTGGCAGGATGGGGCATAAAGAACACCAGGCAGAAATCATTGCCCTCCTTTCTGCCAGCTCAGAAAACATTAATATCTGAGAATCTTTGTAAAAGAAATCTAAGTTCCCTACCCTGCATTTTCTTGCAAACACTCACCTCCCTCTCTTTGTACTGAGGCAGCAGCTCTTGAACAGAATCAGCAAAGAGCCTTGCATAGCGCTTGGCATTCTCACAAATTGAATCTACCAACTCAGGGTCCTCCTCGGCCACATCATCTAGGTCTATATACATTGCCACTTGTTCCCGATGAGCCAGTCGAACCTGGGGTGGGGAAGAGTTAGGAGCACCTCAGAGTTAAGTTTACTGTGCTCATGCAAGGACCCATCACTGTGAGCTCAGAACACAGATTCCAGGCCTCCACACGGGAAAAAGGGCAGTGTGAGACAGAGCAATACTCATTCCTCAGGCCGAAAAATACAGCCTCTCAACACCCAAAAACACCTTAATTATCATAAATGTAGTATTATAGTCACCAGGTTATCAGATACCACACTAAACACATGTCATTTACAGACAAATGTACTTGCTGAAATAAGCCAGGCCACCTCTTACAACTCCTTAAGGTTCCATGCCCTCTAATCTTAGACTTACCAACTGGTTCCCATACTTGAACTGCTTCTTGCCAAGCTCGTCATCCTGGTAAAACTCTTGTAGGAATTTCTTCACCTTTTCTATAATGTAAATGCAAAATCATGATCAACCTTTCTTTCAGATAAGCTTACTGCAAACCCGATTGAAATCTAAGAAACCTCTTTAAGTGACCAGTTATATGAACATTTAAATCACCCTACATAATTCCCCCCAAACTGGGCAGAACTACTTTCCACAAGTCTGTTTTTACCTAGAGAAGAATTAGGGGCACCTGGCAATTCAGAGAATTACCCAACACCCTCCCCCCAGGGGAATTCCAGTGTCTGCCTTCGTTAAAAATCTCAGCGCCCTTTCCCAAAAGCCTCCCACTCTCAGCAGCAAACTCAAGTCTCAAGGTTCTTAGCTTTTCTTCCATAATTATGATTCCTCGTTTTCTTTCGGTCCCCTAAATCTATGCCACTAGTCCCATCCTCCACCCCACCCCCTCTCCCGCCACTGCTTCCGCTCTTAGTAAACAAAGAAGCACATGGGCCCAGATGCTGCCGCCTCACAGCTAGGGATTCCTCCGCCCAGGGCGGGAGCCGGTCCGGCGATTGGCCCGCTGGTCCAGTGCCACTCCGTCGTCCCCCCCTTTGCGCCCCGCTACCTCCTCTCTGCAGTGCACTAAAACCCCTAATTCCAGGCACGCCCCCACCCTCCGGCGCTCTCCTGGATGCTACCGCGCGGAAGGACACTGTTTACACACGGCACTCCCTCCACAGGCGTCGCGCAACTTCCGCCCGTCTTCACTTCCGCTTGTAGGTTGGCCTAAAATGGCCAATCCTTGCGCGCAGCGGCCTCCACTGGCCCGCCCCCGGGGCTTCGACATCTCGGGAGGACAAGGCTTCTTGGAGTGCCAAGGGTCGCGGAAGGTAGCGGGACTGGGGGTGCCCGACTCTACGCACCAGGGTATCCTGAAATCCCGGTCTCTCCTAGGCGGGACCCTCCGCACTCGAGCCCCCAGCGGGGCTACCTGCCGCCCCCACTCCTTTCCCAGACACGATCACCAGCTCTTCTTCGACCTCCGGTCTCCGCGCGCCTCCCAGGCACCGTGTGCCTTAGCCTCGCCGCCTCTGGACCCGGGCTCTGGCCTCGTGCACCGAAGAGCCCCCCAGGAACCCAGATCACATCAACAGGTGTTGACAGGGAGGGCTCCCCCTCCGGACGCCCCCTCAGGCTTGCAGACCCTCACCTTTCTCCAGCGTGTAGTCCTTAAGTGCCATCGCAGCTGAGGACCGTGAGGCAGCAGTTGGCGCGCTCAAGGTTCTCACTCCCCAGTAGCAGCGAACGTTCCCGCGGCTGACTGCGGATGACCAACCGAAATTGGCGCGAAACGTCGCTCAACACGTGACCGGCGTCGCTGCGGGAGGGCCAATCCAAAAGGTGGTCCTCTGTCTCCCCCCTTTCGCCGCGGGCTCCAGCTTCGGCCAATCACCGGGCGAGCCTGGGCTGAGTGACGGGGAAGCGGCGCGGGTGTCCAGAGGGACTGTTTGGGCAAGGCGGGGCAGGCGCCGGATTTCCCGCGTCGGAGAATCGCTCTTAAAGGGCCGGCCCACATGCGTCCTTTTGTTCCGGGGCCGTTGGGTGGCGCAGGCCCAACTTTTGTCTCTCTGTTTACTCTGCAGAACTGCCATGATTTCCCAGTTCTTCATTCTGTCCTCCAAGGGGGACCCACTCATCTACAAGGACTGTATCCTTGACTCACAGGTTCAGGAGGGTGGGTCTGGGTGGGAATAGTGTCCCAGAGCCAGCCTGTGTCGCCGGCTCCTTAGCTGACCTTCAACCCGTCAGTCCGCGGGGACAGTGGCGGCCGGGATGTGGCTGAGCTCTTCTACCGGAAGCTGACGGGACTGCCCGGAGAGGAGTCCCCCGTTGTCATGGTAACCACACTGGTGGGAGTGGTATTCCCGGCAGGCCTTGATAGGGGGCGCGCTTCCGCCCACCGGGCTGCATCCTTGAGAACTTTCTCATGGGGATGAGGGCCATGCATTCCTCCAAAAAACATTGAAGAAAGTGTATTGAGCGCTAATAGCTCCTCACATATCTCAATCTTCAGCACTTCTGGGGAAGGAACTATCATTAACTCCACTTACACTTTGGGAAACTGGGCCCTAGGGAGGTTTCTAGTTCACCCCAAAGTCACACTGCTAGGAAGTAGGGAAATCGGTATACCAGCCCAAGTCTCGTGGACCCTTAAGCGCAACTCTCTTCCTGATCCTTTCTCCCCCGCTTTTGCCTCAGCACCACGATGACCGTCATTTTATTCACATCAGACACAGCGGTCTCTATTTGGTGGCCACAACTTCAGAAAATATTTCTCCCTTCAGCCTCCTAGAGCTGCTCTATCGGTGAGGAGGGTAGGGCTGAGCAGGTGGGTGTTGGGATCTGAGAGGAGGAAGAGATGGACACTCCTTTTTCCTCAGGCTAGCCACCCTCCTGGGCGATTACTGTGGCTCTCTGGGAGAGGGGACCATCTCCCGCAACGTGGCTCTTGTCTATGAACTCCTGGATGAAGTGTTGGTAAGGTCCAAGGATTTCCCTCATTGTCCCTGTTCCCTGAAGATCTATGCTTTGACTGTGAGGCTAAGTCCACTCCTTTTCACCACTTCCCTCCACTGGCCATCCAGAGACTACCCTTCCTCTGTCTGTAGGATTATGGCTACGTACAGACCACATCCACAGAGATGCTGAGGAACTTCATCCAGACGGAGGCGGTGGTTAGCAAACCCTTCAGCCTCTTTGATCTCAGCAGTGTTGGCTTGGTTAGTTGAGGGAAAGAGGACCAGGAGGGAGGGAGGGTTGGCAGGGAGTGTCAGACCTTGAGGACTGATTGCTTTGGGTGCTTTCTAGTTTGGAGCTGAGACACAACAGAGCAAAGTGGTCCCTAGCAGTGCAGCCAGCCGCCCTGTCCTGTCCAGCCGCTCTGACCAGGTGAGGGAGGGCTACACAGGATCAGACCCTCTGATTTTTTTTTAGGGGATCCCAGAGTCCAAGATCCATGCATATCTTTCTGCCTCTCCTAGATTTGGATAATCCAATCCCTCCCTTTACCTCGTGTCCCCACCCCAGGCCCTAGCCTCCACTGCTCTGTCCACTTTAGAATACAAGCCATTCAGCTTCCAACTACCCAAATGCCCTCTTTTCCTCAGAGCCAAAAGAATGAAGTGTTTTTGGATGTGGTTGAGAGACTGTCCGTACTGATAGCATCTAATGTAAGTTTGGGCCCCCAGCCCTGGAGCTGAGGACAGATATCTGGGAAACATGTTGGGGAGGTCACCTCTGGGCATTAACTTCCCTGCCACTCTCAGGGCTCGTTGCTGAAGGTGGATGTGCAGGGAGAGATCCGACTCAAGAGCTTTCTTCCCAGCGGCTCTGGTGAGAAGTCTGCAGGTTGGGCCCAGGATTGGGTTTGAGACGGGCTCTTTGGTGGTGGTGGCCTTTTCTGATGTCCTTTTCTCTGACAGAGATGCGCATTGGCTTGACAGAAGAATTTTGTGTGGGGAAGTCAGAACTGAGAGGTGAGGAGAAAGTGGGTCTTTCTCTCCTACAAACATTTAGGTCACTATCAGAAGTTTTATGGAGAGAAATTAGAGACAGATCCCCATCCTACCCCTGCTCTTCTTTCCCAAAATATGGGTTAGCAGAGGAGTCTCTCTCTCTTTCTAGGTTATGGGCCAGGAATTCGGGTGGATGAGGTCTCATTTCACAGCTCGGTGCACCTGGATGAGTTTGAGTCTCATCGAATACTCCGCTTGCAGCCACCTCAGGGCGAGGTCAGGATGGGCTGGCCTAGCATATCCATCTACTCAAGGGAAGGGAGGCAGTTCAGGTGTGAGGGGACCAAACTGACCGTCATTCCTCCCTCATCTCAGCTGACTGTGATGCGGTACCAACTCTCAGATGATCTTCCCTCCCCGCTCCCCTTCCGGCTCTTTCCCTCTGTGCAGTGGGACCGAGGCTCAGGCAGGTGAGACCATTTCCTCTGTTCTAGAATTTCTCCGGAATCCAAGTCAACAGGTATATGTTCCCAAGACTTAATTGTGGAGTGATGGTGGCTAGTGGTATAGGGTACAAATTAGAAAAAGGCACCCTCCCCACAGTGTACTCAGCCCCATAAATACTAGTGACTAGTGGAGTTGAGTAGATTTCAGCCCTTCTGTCTGCTTCCTTCAGCACATGCATGGGGGCTTTCAGTGTGGGATGGTGAGATGCGAGTGGGATATGGCCAGAGTAACAGTATTGTACCCTCTCACCCAGGCTCCAGGTTTATCTGAAGTTACGATGTGACCTGCCCCCAAAGAGGTATGAGTGGGGGTAGCCAAGACTAGTTCAGCTATGGGGAGTAGGAGACAGCCCAGATACCTGTCACTGTGGCCTTCAGATTCAGCCACCAGCCTTGGAATCAGTTTAGTTAGAGGCTTGAGAGTTTGGGAAGGGGATGGATGGCACTTGTGCTGAACTCCAGCTGTGACATTAATGAAGAGTGGATACAAGTCACTACTTTTCTGGGGCTGACTCTGTTCTTTTTGTGTTTGCAGCCAGGCTCTCAACATCAGGCTGCATCTTCCCCTGCCTCGAGGGGTGGTCAGGTTAGTGTGTGTGCATTGTGGGGTCTTGGGTCATTTTACCAGTTTCCCTGGACAACAAGATGGCACTGGGGAGGAGAGTGTATACTGTGTGGTGAAGCTGGCCTGCCCCAGAGGCAGTCAGTGGCTAAGCCTAGCACCTTTCCAAACTCCAGCCTGTCTCAGGAGCTGAGTAGCCCAGAGCAGAAGGCAGAGCTGGGGGATGGAGCCCTTCGCTGGGACCTGCCTCGAGTGCAAGGAGGCTCTCAGCTCTCAGGCCTTTTCCAGGTATCAGCTGCTGATTCTGTAAAGCCTTCTTTTCTCACCTCCATTTTCAGCCCTGACTCATCCCTCCTAATGTAGCTGCATTTTTCCCACCAATATGGTCACCTTCCTGGCCCCTTGGCTTCTCTGCCCACCTTCCTCTGTGTGCCTTCAGCACCCGTTCCTCTGCCTCTATCCCTCACAGATGGAAGTCCCAGGTCTGCCTGGGCCTCCTGGTCAAGAGCATTCCATCTCAGCCTCTCCTCTGGGGCTGGGCCCTGCGAGCCTCTCCTTTGAACTTCCCCGGCACACGTGTTCCGGCCTCCAGGTTCGCTTCCTCAGGCTGGCATTCAGACACTGCAGCAACACCAACCCCCACAAGTGGGTACGACACCTAAGCCACAGTGATGCTTATGTGATTCGGATCTGAGGCTTCCCAAACAAGGACACTGGCAGTAAAGGTGATGGCCTGTGGTTAAGAAAGACAATACTGTCTTTTCTTTCTTTTTATTTTATTGTTGGAAGTATTACAGATATCCCCCTTTCCCCCTATTTATCTCCTCCACCCCGCATCTGCAGCCCCCTCTCCCAGGCCTTCACCACACTATTGTCTGTGTGCATGGGTTATGCATATATGCATATAAATTCTTTGATTAACCTCTCCCCACTGAGATTCATCAGTCTGTTCCATGCTTCTATGTCTCTGGATCGATTTTGTTCCTCAGTGTTTTATTAGATTCCACATATGAGTGAGATCATGTAAAACTGAATCAGGAAGAATCAGAAAACCTGAATAGGCTAATAACAATTGATGAAACTGAATTAGTAATCAAAAAACTCCCAGCAAACAAAAGCCCTGGTCTGGATGGCTTCACAGGGGAGCTTTTTGATTCTTTAAGTTGTAGGGTTAGTTTATTAAAAATTTTTTTTTTGCTTTTTGAGGTAGGCATCAAAACTTCCCTCTTAGGACTGCTTTGACTGTGTCCCATAGATTTTGGGTTGTGTGTTTATTTTCATTTGTTTCCAGGAATTTTTTGATTTCTTGACAATATTGTCTTTTCCATTCTTCTGGCCTGTGGCTATGGATCTGGCTGGAAGAGTCCTAAGTCTTAGAGACCATGAGGGCTCAATGGGTTAGATCCTCCCATGGTATCGGACACAGGAAGAACTGAGGTGAATCAGAACTTACAAATCAAATTTTTATTATGAGGAGCTGGCTGTACAATATCTAAAGAAAGTTAAGATGAGGGAAGCAGATGACTACTTCCCTCCACCCAGCATATGTGTGTGTAGAGAGAATCTGGAGGACAGAAGGCTGACAGATGTGTGACAGCATCAAGGGGCAGGTTGAGGGGACCCAGATCCAGGGGGCTGGGAGCCATTAGCCTTTGGAGTTCCTGGAGCTGGAGGGGGGCTATCTCCAGCTTCCTGTTTTCCCCCACAGAGGGCACTGCCCCCAAGTGGGGAGGGGGCTGAGGATTGGGGAGGGACTGGGGAAGGATGGGAGGTAGGGCCTCCTTTGCCATCCCCTGTTGGGGGAAGAGAGACCACTATGTACTTCTGGACACTGCCAGGGCCAGAGGGAGCAGTGCTGGGAGGTGCAGTTGTGGCGGTGGAGACCAGCTTGACAATGGGCTGCACGCTGGGGACCGTGGTAGTGACAGGAGAGGTGGTGGTGGAGCCTGAGCCAGGGGCTGAGGTGCTGAGGGACAGGACCTGGGGGAAGAACGGAAAGTCAGTGTCTGTTGCCTTGCGTCCTCTCTACTCCCCAGGCCTGGGGGAATACCTCACTTGCTCCAATCAAATAACTTATCCTCTGACCTTTTACTTTATTTATTTTTTTGTTAATCCTCACCTGAGGATATTTTTCCCGTTGGTTTTTTGGAGAGAATGGAAGGGGGAGGGGGAGGGAGAAAAACATCGATGTGAGAGAGACACATTGTTTGCCTCTGCCCTGACTGAGGGTGGAGATCGAACCCATAACCCAGGTACATGTCCCTTGACCAGAAATTGAATCTGAGACCCTTTAGTCCACAGGCCGATGCTCTAACCACTGAGCCAAACCAGCCAGGACTATCCTCTGATTTTGCTTGGGGGGAAGCTATGACCGCCTGGGCTCCTGGGAAGTGCTCCTTTTAGGTGGCTGGGTTCTACTCTGGGGCCCCTCAGAGTATTCTGAGGTAACCCCAGGCCCCCTCAGGGCTGCATGGTGACATGCTCCCCATCATCCCTGGTCCCATAGGGCTCCACATACCTGTTGGGTGGATGAGGCACTAGAGGATGATGACATTACAATAAACTTGGTTGGAGGAGGGGAAGGCTGAGGTGGAGCAGCAGCTCGTGCAGACACCAGTGTCTGGACGGGCAGTGCAATGGAGCCAGGGACCTTCAGCAACCCAGGGGTCCGCGGGCCAGGCTGAGGGGCCTGTGAGAGGGTCAGTGTGGGCCGGGGCTATAGGAAGAAGAGGCGAGAAGAAAATGTTGTCAACATCTAAGATAAAGAAATGTTCTTCTTTCTCCTCAGTTGGTCTCACTGGGGTTGGGGGCCTAGCTGCCTCCAAGACTGACTCAGAGGGCTCTGGGGTTTACAAAATTTGTGCCTCAGTGGGGGCATGCCTTTGATTCCCTCTCCCATCACCATTTTTCTTCATTCCTCCTCTCCATTTGGTCACCCTTCCTCCTCCCTGTACTGTCACTGACCTGAGTGATGGTCAGGGTGGTCCTGTTGACCTGCTGAGCCTGCAGAGCAGCTTGGGCCCGGGCCTTGACCACATGGGAGCAGAGGAGGGGTCCGAGGGACCCAAATTCTGCCCGATAGGCATCCTGATTGTCGGGTGGTGGGCGCAGCTTTGCCAAAACAGGGGCACAGTGCTTCTGCAGAGAAGGCAAAGAAAAAACCTAGGTAGGAAGAGCGCCGGGACTCTCAGAAATGTGATGAAGGTGTGAAAAAGGATATTACCCATCATTTCAGTATGTTCTTGTTGAAGGCCAAACTGCTGGCATAGCAGTGTGTGTAAGGAATGCTGTGGTTTTTCTTCATAAGAAAACATAGGTACCAACTGTGTAAACAGAGAACATGCTAAATACCCTAGTAATATCTGAGAGGTAGTTCTTGTCCATAGGGCATTTGCCTTAGTGATGCAGAAGCATCAGGGGCAGTGCAGTGTAGAAGCTACAGGCTGAGAGTTAAGACCTCTTGTTTCTTATTTAACTCCTTTGTGCCTCGGTGTTTTCCATCTTAATAGTATTGGACTCTTGAGGTGTGCTCTGAATGTATGAGGCAAAGATGGGTTAAGTGAATAAAAGATGCCACATGCTTGCTAAACACTGCACCTGTGTGTGTGATTGGGGGTTGGGGGGGATAGATTAAAGAAGCAGGGGGAGGGCAAGGGGCTCTGGTCACCAGGAGGAGGCTCTGCACGTGGTCAGCTCCAATTCGGTCAATGTTGCTCAGGACAGGGCCATCCAGGACACTGCGGATCCGCTCCCCCTCTTGCTGCAGCCGTGGCAGAATCAGAGTCTTAATCACCTGTTGGAAAGGAAGAGGAGAAGCCAGGGCCCTGGGGTCACCACAGAGTCTCCCAGGTGGTAGTGTTGGAGGTGTTTCCCACTATGACCTCATGATGCCTCCCTCCCCCAGTGCTTCCCCTTGGGGCCTGACATCATGTCCCAGCTCGGCCAGGCCTGCGATGGAGCCATAACGTGTGGTCCACGGAGTCTTCTCATCCACCCAGCTCTGTAAGGGGATGGAAAATAAATCCAGATAAATAGGCATGAAAGGCTAATTGGTAAGGACCCAGGTCTCATGAACACACTTTCCTTATAGATTTTTAAGACATTACAGATACATATGGCTCAAGTCCCAGTCCTCCTGCCCTCTACCCCTTGTTTTCAGTGTCACTTCCTTTCCCCCCTCTACTCTGCCCCTTGTTTTTAGTGTCATTTTCCCCAGCCACAACTGACCCACCACTTGTTTGGGTAAAGCTTGCATTGTCCTGGTGACAACCCTGAGGTAGAGATGTGAAAGGGCTTACACTCCTTATTCTCACCTTGGTGAAAGTCTTGGTGATCCGAGACTGGATGTTGTTAGTGGTTGTACTGAAATGCTTGCAGATCTGGGCCACCAGGCGGGCAGCAAAGTCCCGGAGTGCCCAGTGATTGTCCACATCTGGCCGCAGGCACAACTGTCTGCTCACGATGCAGGTCATCACAGCTGGAATCAATTCATGCACCTAAGGGAGAGGTGGAGAGTCAGCTAATTATGATAAAGGGCTTCCTGTTGGTGGCAGTAAGGTCTCCAAACCCTGGGATAAGAGGTGGGTGGGCAGGACCACTCACGTATTTTTCCAGATACAGCGTAGGGTTGTCCATCAGTGCCTTCACCATGCGCATCAAATAGATGAGCAGGGCCAGGTTGTTCTGCACCACGTTCACACGGACCTATAGGAGGGAGAAGTGATGGGGCAGGGAGACCCTTTAGATGAGCTTGCCCTGCCAACTCCTCACCCACTGGAACCTCATTTGAGGGCCTAGCCTTCCTGAATCCTCTCACCCCCTCTGAGATGAAGGTGCTGAATCGTGGCAGCATCTGATAGAGCCCTGGGTCTGTTGCGATGCTCTGAAGGGCTTCCTGTGGGAGCAGGGGAATGAGTGAGGTGGGAGCAGATATCATGGGAAGAATTTGTGGGGCCTCCAAGAGGAGCCTTGAAGTAAAGGCAGGAGGGTGGGGCCTCACCGCTCTCTTGGCTTCACATGACCCCACACAGGCTTCGGTGATCTCCTTGTAGTACAGCTGCTGTTCCACAGACAACTCATGGATACTTCGGGGCTTTAGTCGCAAAGGGCCCCCCTCCAGCAGGGGTGGTGCCTTCTTCTCTTTTCCTGTGTGAAATGGGAAGATAGGTTTGAAAAAGAAAGCTTCAGAAGAGCCTTGGTACCAGACAAACCTTGACCTTCCACTCCCCTCTCCAGGGAGACCTGGCTTCCCTTAGGCTGCTTGATCCTTTCTGGGGCTCTCTGGCTGACCTCACCCTCTTCGCAAATGACCATCTAGCTTTGGGGCAAGAGCCAGAAGAGGCCTGGCCTAACACTACTGACCTTTGCCATCAGCTGGAGCTGCCCCTTGACCTTTGCCTTTCAAGGGTCCATCTTCCTCCTGGCCTGGCTTTGCTGACTTCAGGGGCTCTGTGGCCTCCGCCTTCTGCTGCTCTTTGGGAGCTGGTAGGAAAGAGTCAGTCACAAGAGTGATGAGAGTGATAGATGTAAAGGAAGAAAGGGGAGAGAGACAGGAGTGGGCTCTGGGCAGGGAGGTTACCTGGGGGTGGATTCTCTGGGATAGCTGGCTGGCAGCCTTCAATGCTTAACCAATGAGCTATGAGGAAGGAAGGTGTCAAGTTGAACTGCTGGACATGGATACTAGGGAGTCACTCCACATCAAGGAATTTGTTTCGTTCCTGTTACCACTTCCTGCAACTCACCAGGGATCTCACACTAAGGGTTTCATTCTTGAGTTTCCTCAAACCCATAAGCATTGCACCGCCTTTCCCTCCCCTGCCACCCAGCTCTCCTTTCCCCTAACCTTTGAGGCAGACATCCAGGGGCACCCTGGGCAGAGGGGTATTGATGATGTCGCTAAGGTCAACCTCCTTCTCCTCATAGAAGTACAGTTCCCGGCCACCACCAGAGGCGAACCGGAAAGGAATAAACTCTTGAGCATGGAAGCCATACAGTGGCTGTATCAGGAGAGAGACAGACAGACAGACAGACATTGGGATGAGAAGGGAGCCCGTGGAGGTGTCGCTGAAGGCAAATGCAATATCTGGAAGGACTGCTCTCCTCACCCTGCCCTCCCCACCCCCTGCCTGTCTCAGTCCTGTGTATCCCAATCACCTCAACATTCTTTAGCTTCAGCGCATAGTCAATGTCACTGGTGGTGAGCTTCTGCCGCTTCCCCATGTGCATAAATTTTAAGGCATCCTGGGGGTAGGAAAACAAATGTCAGCCTGAGACCCTGAGGAAGGAGGCCTGGGTGGCACCCTTAATACAATGCAGGATCAGGTAGAAGGGCCAGATTACCTGTGCAATCTCCTTGATGCGGTAGCTGACTTCATCTGTCAGCAGCTGGCAGGTTTCTTCCTGAATCTGGGCGATGCCCATCGACTCAGCCACCACCTTCATCGACTCTGAGGGCAGCACAGTATTGCTGAGCTTCAGCTTCTTCTCCTCAGCCATTCTGGAGCTGCTCCTCCCTCCCCTGAAGGATGATGCCCCAGGGTGGAGAGATGGAGACCCTGCCAGGGGGATGGGGTGGGCAGAAGAGATAAAAAGAAACATGAGACCCAAGGAAGAGGGACTGTCTGCCCAGGAGAGGCCACAACAAACGGGAGGATAATAAGGATGTGAGGAGGGAAGGCACTCGTGGGTGTTTTCTGTCCATTCCTATGAGTCAGTACGGGGTGTAACGGAAGGAGGTAGCAATCCAATCCAATTCAACATAATTTATTGAGCTCTGATACTATGCCAGGCACTGTACAAGTGAGGTATAGTAGAATGATCTTGGTCCTCAATTTAAATCCCAGCCCTAGCACTACCTCACTGTATTACTTGGGCAGGTTACTTAAATTGTCCCTGGTTTGGGTTTCTGCTCCATAAAATATGGAAAACACATTTTTCCTAAGGTGGTTTTGCACGTACCTTCATCTCTCTTGTCCCTTCTTGCATCGTTATTCATTCTTGACACAAATACAATATTGGTTAAATACAACCCTCCCAACCCTGAGCCTGTATACTTGTACAATTCAATGTGATGAGAAAAACACACAACCATCATGGCTAATTACCACTTTAAATTCATGACCATAAACTTCAAATGGGCCCTTAATGCTGCCAGACAAGCATACTATACCTCAGTGTAGTCAGTCTCCCTCTGTCCTGTGTAACACCTTTTCTCCTTCCTCACTTTCAGCCATCAGAAGGGACCTCTAGACTTACCACGTCTACCCACCAAGTGGAACTGGTGTCCACATACCCTGCCTTCTCACCTGCTACTATAAACTGTTCATGCCTGTCACCACCTCCAACATTGTTCCAGGGTTTCTACCATCTCCCTGAATCATAAATTTCTCAACCTACTAGATCATTTCCATCAGCTTACAAAAGGTAGTTATTTCTATCTTAAACAAAAGTGATATATATGCACAATGGACTATTATACAGCCTTAAAAAGGACATTTGAACACATGCTACAACATGGATAAACTCTGAGGACATTATGCTGAGTGAAATAAGCCAGTCACAAAAGGTTAAATGTGGTATGACTCCACTTGTGTGAGGGTCTTAGAGTAATCAAACTCAGAGTCAGAAATTAGAATGGTGGTTTCCAGGGTTTGGAGGATGGGGGATGGGGAGTTATTGTTTAATAGGGACAGAATTTCAGTTTTACAATGTGAAGAGTTCTGTAGATGGATGGTGGTGATGGTTACACAACAATGTGATTGTATTTAATGCCACTAAATTACACTTAAGAATGGTTAAGACAGTGAGTTTTATGTGTATCTCACTAAATTATACATTTAAAAAATCTTTTATTTCACTTTCTCTATATGATATACTCCATTTTTTGGCCCCTCCTTGCAATAAAACTCCCTGAAAAAGTTGTCTTAACTTTGTTTCTAATTCTCCTCTCCTTCTCTCTTGAACCTACTCCAATCAGGCTTTGCTCCCCTAGATCCCTGAAACCTCTCAAGGTCACAGATGATTCCACATTGTCAAATCCAAGGCCTACTCTGTCCTCATCTTCTTAAACCTCAAAGCAGCACATAGCATAGCTGACTACTACCTTCTGAAAACTCTTCTTTACTCCACTGTGGCACCAACTTCTGGTTTTCTTCCTACCTCACTGGCCATTACCTCTTGGTTTCCTTTACTGGTTCTTCCTCCTCACCTGCTTAATGTTGTAATGTCCTGGGCTCAGTCCTTAGTCTTCTCTAGCTACGCTTATTCACTTAGTGACCTCAACCTCTCTGTTTTCAGCATCACTTATAGGCTGATGATGGCTAAATTTATATCCCCAGCCCAGAGCGTTCTTCCTAGCTCTGGACTTGTATATCAAACTGTCCACCTAAAATCTCCACTAAATCTGAACTCCTGATCTCCCCCTCCCACCTATTCCAGCCTTCACTTTCCTTGTCTTTGTAGTGACACCATTCATCCAGGAGCTCATTCTTTATGTGAGCCCTCACATCAAATTCACTAGGTGATCCAACCTAATTCCTCCATTCCCACTGCAGGTCTCCTTTATCACTTGGATAACTTCAATAGCCTTCTGATAAGGTCTTCCAGCTGCCAACCTTGCTCTTTACATCTACTCCCAACACAGCAGCCAGAGTGATTCTGTCAAATTATAAATCAGACTGGGTCATTGTTCAAACTTTGTAATGGCTCCCCATTTGCCATCGAGTAAAATCCAAAATTCTTACGGTCTACAAGGCCCTCTCTGCATTACATCTCTGACCTCCTTTCCATCCTTCTTCCAGCTTGATCCAGTGCCACTGTCCTTGCTGTTCAAACTTGACAGACGTTCTTGCTTTATGGCCTTTGCTATTCCTTCTGCCTGGAATGTTCTTTCCCAATGTCATCTTGGCTGCCCATTTCCACCACCTTATTTAATACCACACATCCCTCCCCATTTAACATCTAATATATATGTTATCATTTCTTATCGTTTATCACCACCATACTTCCCCCTCCTGCACCATGTGGACAGAAATCTTTGTCTATTATGTTCACTGATGTGTTCCAATATGGAATGCTGTTGCCTGAGACACTGTAGATACTCAATACATATTTGTTGAATAAATGAGTGAATTGTGAGGCTCAGAGATGTAAGGGCTCAATACATACTTGGTACCAGTATTATCAAGATGAACAAGTACAGGCCCAAGCTTGGAATCTACTCTGCAGCCAACATAAAAGTGGCTCGCATTGAAGCTGGTATTAGGAAGACTAATGTCAAAAGTGTTTAAAACTGACTGCGGGGTGCCGGTGGGGCCGAGTGGGGACATGCTAAAGGGGTAAGAAGATGGACGCCAAAGAGAATTTGGTTCTTCTCAAACCATCCCAGCTCTCCTCCCCTACTTCTGTAAGTCTTATTTGCCGACAACACTTTTATTCAACACATACTCCGTGCCTGGAGCTGGGTATACAAGCGGTCGTGTCCCAGCGTCCCGGAGAACTGCTACTAACCCTTCAATACCCTGAGGTACCCTCCGCCAGAAAAGGCTCAAAACACTCCACGGCCCCTCAGGTCAGTAGAGTCGGTAGAAAGGCTTCACAGAGGAGGATTAAGTTGAGTTACATGTGCGTAGTTCCCCCAGGAGGAAAACAGGTCGAAGGTCCCCAGGCAACGGGTCCAGCGCGAAAGGAGGAGAGAGCCCACCTCATCCGCCAACATCCCTCCAATGCAAACACACAGAGTCCTCAAGCTTACGGACACACAACCAACCGTCTTCCTCCAGGTCCCCACACAGGCCCGTCAAGGGGTCTAGTCCAGAGTACCGTTCGACCCTCCCCCGCCAGCCGAGCACCCCGGGCATGAAAAAACTCTCACCGCTGCCAAAGCGCCTCTCACCCGGCGCTCGGCGCCATGTTGGCCCCGCCCCCTCCCAGGAGCAGGTCCTGGCAGAGACAGGGAGCAAGTCCTAGCCCTTCTCCGAGCAGGAATAAGTCCTCTAGACTCACGGCCTGAAACGACATAAAAACGCTGTTTCGATATCTACGTGTAAGGAGCAAACACTTCTGTTGTAATTACTTCTGTTTATTCCTTCACTACCCGGCTGCCAGGACCTTCACGAGGCGCCACACAACCTAGGCCGGGAAAGCCTGAGTGCAGGTGACCCCACCCCCTTTTGGGTCTGCACTGCGCGTGCGCCTCCCTTGCTCACAGGCTAGACTATTAAAGTTGCCGCGAACCCCCTCGGAATTAAAAGGGCCCGCTGCCTTCCTGAAGTTGGTTAGTTGTGGACAGCACTTTGTCATGGGACCTGTGCGGTTGGGAATGTTGCTTTTCATTTTGACTGCGTACGTCCCAGCTTGGGCTGGGACGCCGAAGGATGAGGACCATGACACAGATCGCTTGCCCAGCAAATGCGAAGGTATTTGAAGGAAGTAGCCCCTTTTTGCATCTCTCTGCCCCACCTCCTTTGTTTGGGCCGGACCTAATGGATCGTGATGGGTGGGTCATTCAACCTCCTTGAAGACCTGAGGAAGGTTCTGGTGGAGTAAGGCGGCATTGAATGGGATCAAGGGAGGGAACCTAATAGTGCTACCCCAAAACTATGGCACTACAGTTCCCATGAGACATCCTGAGAGAGCCCGCTTTTTCTGGCTGGCTCGGGCCCCAATGGTTTGTGGGAATTGTAGTCCAGGGACTATCTGCGCGGGACCACCCACTCTACTGAGCATCTTCAGCGTGTGTTTTCCCCATTCCACTAGACCTAAATCTGGAGATCCTGCAGGGGCGGGGTGCGAGACTCAACTTTTGGGCATCCTCTGCACTACCTCGGCAGAGCCACTCCCAAATTACAGGTCCCGAACTCTCCTGAGGGGGTTTGAGATGAGTAAATCAGCCCTTGAAGCTCATAAATGAAAGAGGAAGCCACACAACTGGGAGAGGTTCCCCATGCATGTGAGGCTTTCCAAAGGGTGTGTGTGTACTGTATGGATTTTACAGTGAGCAGCATCTTCTGTGACTTCGTTAAATGTGGGGCCCAGCTGGGAGAGGGCACTTCAGAGCTGGCCGTTGAGTGTTCTGGTTTCCCAGTTTGTTGCCCTCCTGACTTTAATTTCTTCCCTGGATTCTTTTTCTTTTGAAAAATATATATATCTTTATTGATTTCAGAGTAAGGAAGGGAGAGGGAGAGAGAGATAGAAACATCAATGATAAGAGAGTCATTGATTGGCTGTCTCCTGCACGTCCCCCACTGGGGATGGAGCCCAAAACCAGGGCATATGCCCTGACCAGAAATCCAACTGTGATCTGCTGGATCATAGGTTGATGCTCAACTGCTGAGCCATGTCGGCAGGGTTGGATTCTTTTTCTTTTAACCTGCATTTCAATATCACTGTTCCTCAAGACTTGGACCTAATCTCTACTCTCCTTTCCCTTGTGCCCCCACTCTTCTGTCTGTTTTTCTAAACACAGACCCAATCTTGTTAGTCCTTGTTTTAACACCAGTGGAGGCCTCCTGCAGTGATCAAATACAGCCAAAATTGTTTTTAGGGCAGAGCATATGTGTTTGTTTTATGATGCCCCCCCCCCCC